TAATATACACCAAAAGCTAATTTGATTGTATGTCTATACGTAGACGACATGTTGATAATAGACAAAAGTCATGAAATGATGCTAAGCACCACGAATATGTTAACGGAACCTTTTGATATGAATGATATCGGTGTGACTGGTGTGATATTAAGATTTAAGATCTCTAAAATATCAGGAAAAATTATACTTTTTCAATCTCACTGCATTGAGATTGTACTTAAAGAATATAATGTATTTGAGGAAAGTCTTGAAAAAATGGGTGAATGTGTTCACGGGTTATAGGCAGTCTAATGTATTACAAACTGCACTTGACCGAACATAACATTTGTCGTGAATAAACTTAGTAGGATCACAAGTAATCCAACTCATGATCATTGGAAGGCAACGATGGTCTTTACGTATTTTTGAAGTATAACTTAACATATGGATTACACTTCACAAAATATCCTGCAGTATTGGAAGGATATTCTGATGCGAATTGAATATCTGACATGAAGGATTTTAAGTTTATTAGTGGTTATGTAATTACCATTGGAGGAGCTGTTGTATCATGGAAGACGACAAAGCAAACTTGTATGGTATGATCAATGATGGAATCAAAATTTATTGCTTTGGACAAAGTTGGGCAAGAAATAGAGTGGCTTCGTAATTTCTTGGAAGATATTCCATGTTTCTCTAAGTCGATACCTGCAATAGGTTACATAAGTTTTAACACTATCATTAAGCAACCGATCTATAATGTTATCATCTCCATAGATTATGTGAAGTCAAATGAGAACGGTGCGGATACACTTACAAAAGGTTTACGGAGAGATCAAGTATGTTGCCTATCAAAAGGAATTGGACTAAGGTCTATTACGTAAAAAAATTTGTAATAGTGACCCTATCTTGTTGACCGAAGATTCTAAAATCTTGGTTCAAGGGAACAACTAAGTTATGAAAATTCAATGATACACTAGAAAAAATATTTGCTAACCCATTCCTATGATAATTAAAGTGTTTTCTGCAGAATGTTAAAGCTTAAGATATGCTTTTAATAATTCACATGTCTTGATTAAGTCGGGTGAAGTAAGACAGAATACTCTTAATAGGAGGTCATCTATGTAAGTGTGAGGTGTAGCCGCCTCAACGAAAATTGTCCAAAGCTGAAATTTTCTAACACGCTCATGAAACCTAAGAGTGGTTGGGGGCCAAAATGAACCAAGTCATGAGAACCATGAACGATTTAAAAAAGACACATGTGTGAGTATTATTGTCTTGATTTATACCAACGGCTGAATAGTTTAAGACATCATATTCACCTATCAGCCAAGTAAATCCGATGCAGTGCTTTTCTGCTCTCTATAATGCATCATATTTTCGTATAGCATGGATATATTTAAATTTTCATTAATGTGGAGGATTGTTGGAATTTGGTTTAAAGATTGAAAATTTTTGGTTAAGTATAAAACTTGAAAAGTAACTTTTTGTCAATTTCGACCAAATATTCGGATTTGATCCGATAGTCAAATTATAAATATAAATAGACTAATTTGTTCTACTAGTCAAGTAGATCATCATAGCATATTGGAAATCTCAAAATCAATTCCGAATAAATGAAAAATTACGGACCAAAGTTGAAAGAAAAACGATGAGAAAAGGGGGGAAAAAATCATATAGCACTGCTGCTCGAGCAGCATGCTAGAACCTAGCTAGCGATGAAATTGTCACTCAAGCGACATGTGGGACAAAAGTTTTTGTTTTAACAGGTGTCACTGACACTCGAGCGAGATGTCGGCGACAAGCTAACGATAATAAAAGATATTTTCCTTCGTGAAGGTTGCTAAGTTTTAGGACATGTTTCTTCACTCACAACCTCTCATTTTCTATAAATAGGATCCTTTGGACGTCCATTATGCATCCCATATCATTTTGCATTGAGCATTACATCAAAATCTCTTGCAAAAGCTCTTCAAAAATCATTCTAAATTTGTTTTCTTGTAAAGAGAATTTCTTTCGAGTTCGCAATAATTTGTAGTTTAAAGTACTTCTGTCACAAGTTGTGTTCATTGTGTTTTATGAGACAAATGTCGTAATTCGTCGCACTGTTGCGAGACAATTTTGTCTTAAACAAAAAGTGTTAAATCACTTGCTTCGAATTTCTTTTCGTTTCTAGTTTACATAAAGTTTAATTACGCTCATACAAATTAAATTCAACTATTACTTTGTCAATTAAACAAACAACAATTTCACTAAACAAATCACCAACACTCTATATAATAAGATTCACCAATAAGTTAAGCAACAAAATACCCGAAACTATCTGGCGATTGAGGAATTTTAACAAAAAACATCTAGAGCGCGTTCACTAGAGATTAAAATCGGATTAAAATTGAAAAACTAGCCGTTATTGTTGACATTTATTAGACGAGTTGGATCCAATAATGACTATATTTTCAATTTTAATTAAATTTTAAACTTAGCCAAACATGCTCCTAATTTGATGGTAAAAGGTCACTCGGTGGGCACACGATTCTCTCTCCCTCCAAAAAGCAAATGGCGGACTTTCTAACAAATGATGGTACATTTATCATTTAGGGTCCTTTTGATTGCAAGAGTGAAATTTGGGTGAAAAAAATGAATTCCAAGAAATTGAATTGCCTAGAATTGTTTTCCTGAGAATTATCGATTAATTATGTTTGATTAGTATAATTTTTCACGTAAAAAATATTGAAATTTTGAATCTTTTGATATTCGTTTGACTCTGTTTTACATGAAAATTGTTTATTAAAGGGATAAAATTTGTTACAATTGGAGATAAAATTTATTTTCATTGCCAAAATAAAAAAAATAAACTGTAAAATCAATTCCCACCAAAATCAATGAATTGACAATGTGTGAGCCAAAACAAAAAAAAATGAATTGCCAAGAAAATTTTTTCAATCAAACATGCCTTTTGATGGAAGATAAAATTTCATGTAAATTATACCAAATCAAACCGGGCCTTGGAATACCAATTTTGTCCCATTAGTCATTCATTACGACTCGTTTACTTTTGAGTTTGAAAGATCATTTTTTGTCCAATTAGACACTAAAGTCATTTATCACATGACTTATCACGTGGCCTAACCATCTATTTAGACGTCTTGCATTAAATTGGAAGATCGTGCATACAATGTAAAAAGTTGGGGAGACCAGGTGGCACAAACTAAAGCTCCCGTCTCACCTCCATTATTTTCAAAACTCATTTTTTCATAATTCATTTTCAACCTAATTTTCTCGTAAAATAAGTTTCCACCTAAACCCAAAACATTTCCCTCTTTCTAACCATATTCTTCAAAATATCACTATTTCAATACATTTTTCCACAAAAATAGGTCTTAAACAAGGACTAAATGTCACACAAAACGCAAAGTGGAATGTATGTACCCCAATAAATGTAGGGTATACTACATATTTCCACCTCTCCATTCAACTCGATCGAGCCAATTCTTTAAAACTCTCAAGCTCATTTTTAATTACACATTCTTCCAATAAAATAATTTTAGGAGTGTCCATAACTTTGTACTCCTCAACTGCACATTCTTTTAACTTTTTTTTTTTCAAAATCTATTTCAAAAAAAATATGCCTCATATAGGAGCTACATTTCAAACCAAGAATATATAGTCTTCAAATACTATAGGCTTCTTTGAAACATGAGGAATAGTTCACCAAATTACAACGCCAAAGAATTTGCATTCACAATCCTTTACATCTGCTTCAACTTTCCATCACCCTTGCTCAAATGTTATTACCAACATGTAGTTGCTCCAATCCTAAATACTTAACATCCCCAGATTTCTAGTCCCAAAGGGATCCATTTCATACCAAGCAAGCTTCGATTAAAAGTGAGATTGCAAGCAAAGAAAATACTGGGCACAACTAGCAAGATGCAGGCAGAATTGAAACCATTATTATCCAGCACTCGGCAACCTTGGATAACAGGTTATTCAGGAGTCTCCACGATGGATTGTCTCCTCTGGGGTAGGGGCAGTACTATGGGTAAATTTCAATCTTTATACACTGAAGAATCAAAACTAAACGTGTGAAACTTGACATTGTCACAACAATTAAGATCAACACAGAAATACGTGCCACAACACTACCATACACAAGTTGATAAAACAAAACCACCAAATTTGCCTGGAGATAAACTAATGTATGCAACCACTGAGATATCACAGCAGATTCACTACACTATTACAGCCAGACCTAAGGGCAACAGGATTAGTCGAGTTGACCGTTCAGCAGGAATGAATTCAACCAGAGTCACAGAAGAATTAATCTCATACTCAATTGGGGTCACTGCTTAGGTCTATTAACTTGGATGGTTCCAAAATTCATTTGATAACCAGTGCAACTAATGACCTGGTTTCAGGCTTCAGGCAATAGGAACCCAATTTTGTTTTTATGATAGAATTCTTCGCATAGCTTGAGACGGTAAAGCCATTGCCATAAACAGCTTCAATCTTCTCCCACCAGCAGGCGGAGAAGTAAACATCCGCAGAAATCCACACACACTAAACCAGGATTCAAAGCATTTGCCGTTTCAACTACATTAAGAAGCACTAGGAGTGATGACAAGTAGAAGTGATGAAGCAGAGAAGCACAGACGGCACAGAACCACGTGGACTAAGAAGCAGTAAGTGATGTAGCTGATATTCACACCTCAAAAAAAAAAAAGGAAAGCAGATAGATTACTTTAGAGACGACTATAGCAGTAATGTAGCAAAGAAAATGCTAGCAGCAATTTTTTTTTCCAATTTAAAGTATGGAGAAGACCTTAAGATTTAAAGAGCAGGCCAAATCAGATATGGAGTGCATGGCCTCCTTTTCAACTGCTATGTAGCGCAAGATCATGGTTCAAAACACATCCAATTCCCATGACACAGACTAAAATGAAAGTTATGTTGGCTTGTTAAAGCCTATCAGGTTATATCATAGCAAAATCCCATCCTTGCTGTCATCATCCTCTCCTGCTTCAGTATCGAGCTCTGCATAGAAACGAGTTTGTATAAGCCTAAATGCATGAAAAATATTAAATAGAATCAGGCAAATTGTCCCTCACCCATATGGAGAACAAAAGACGAAACAGAATGTGAAACAGAAAAGGTTACAAAACACAACACCAAAAGAAAAATTTACGATGGTCATATATGTGCTTTACTTTTTAAATATTTGTATTTCATTGTTTTTTAGATATGTCTTGCCGACTAAATTTCCACTTATTATCAGGGATTCTAAATCATTAGTGCCGGAAGCGACAAGAACCATGCAATGAAGATGTGAGGTAAATCAGCATTCCAAAAGAATCAAGCAAATTAACAGATTAGATGCAAATATGAAAATTGTGTTAGACAAGAACACCCCAATTTGCATAAGGTACAACCATGTCATAAGTTGCGCTAAAACTTAAACCAATATGCACGACCAGGATATAATTAGTGCATGCACATGATAAACAATTTAAAACTGAAATTATTAGATACCCATTCGTATATGGTGAAACACGGCGACCACGGCTGTAGACTGGAGATCTGCTGTAACTGTGACCACGGCGAGGTGATAGGCTACGTTTAAGTGGAGACCTTCTCCCATAAGGACTATAACTCCTGCAATACGAAGCAAGTGGGATAAAAACACGTCTCAATTTATATTCTTAATAAACACAACTTTCTCACACAACCACACGACATTACCCAAACAATGCAGTCATCATTGCCATACTGGGTAATTATTATATGGCAATACCAGGAATGTATATTAAATTCACACACGTATAAAGAAAATAGTTCTTGCAATTATTTCCTGGAGCCATCAGTATTAAAAGAACGGTTATAATATTATGCCACGTAAAAAAGATGTAAAATTTGCTATTTTTTTTAATTGACGTTTTCAATAAATTAAAATTCTACGCTAAACCAAACACTCGTCTAGCAACTCAGAATAATACCCATTTACCAAAGCTATGGACTGACTACCTTATTGATAGCATGTCAGAAGGCACCTTTTTCTTGGTATATCACCAAACAGCCTAGACTTCTAACAAATTCTAGCCACCAAGAAGACATTATCCACTATCTTTTAACAGAGTAGTATTTAGATCCCTTGCATCAGAAAATGCATAGGATTTTCTTAAGTTGGCTATATCTCAAATGATGCTTTTACATGTAAGCACTCATAAATTGCTGAAACAGAGGAAGGAGGCTTGCAAATGTCTTTTCAGGGATGACATAAGAACTATGATCAACCTCCCAAATATTAGACTTCAGGACACAGCTGGGATTTTCTACAATTTGCACATCTCATTTCAAAAGAAGAATCCAAAAGAACTTACCTCCTCCCATAACTTGGACTTCTACGGCGTCGAGGACTGGGGCTCCTGCGACGTCCACTTCCTAAACCTCTTGAACCAAAGCGCGAGCGACACTCGCGAGCAAAATGACCAGGTTCACCACACTCATAACAGTTCATATCATCACCGCCTCCACGACTACGCCCTCCACGGCTTCCTCCACCCCCCTTTGAATTGTGTGAAAGCTCCACACGCCAGCCATTCTTCCCTGTTTCATTTTCAAACTTCATTGACAAAAAAAGGGAACCACCATGAATTTAAGAATGCAACAGACAACATTTTCCTAGAAGAATTCAAATTAAATAGCATAGTCATGTGGCCACAGGCTTTGATTGCTAGACCCGTTGTGTCGGGCTTGGATGGCCTAACTTGTCTTGTAAGTCTAGCCAAGAATCACTGCAGTTCACACTGAAGCACCTATCACAGGGTGTAAACTTTTGAATATACAGATCCAGTAATTAGTTACAATTGACAGTTTCTCCTTACCCAAATTCCCAAAATAACCTCACCAAAAAATTCATTAGGCACATCCACCGAAAACACAAGGTGTATACTAAAGAGGATTTTGACATCATTATAATTCTTCATCTTTCTCTTTGCAATCACAAAAGGTGTAAACATCAAAAGCAATAATCATGCTTATGTAATAAAAAAGGACAAAATCTGCAATGTCACGAGAACTAGATCAATACATTACTAATAAAATCATCATATTCATCAAATGATCAAATGCTAAATAACCAACAACCAAGAACGTTGAGTGCTAAATAAAACGTAAAAAAGTGTAAAAAGCAACAACAGTAATCATGCTTATGCACTAGAGAAGTGCACAATATCACAAGAACTAGTTGATATATAGCCTCAAAATCATGATATACATCAAATGATCAAATGACAAATGACCGGAACGAAGAACAATAGGTGCTCAATAAAACAAATGTGAGTCAAAAAAGACTAGTTTTCTCGGTATCTTTAACAAAATTATTCTTTGTACTTACCATCCAGATCCCGAATTGCATCAAGAGCATCCCGGCGATCATCAAACTCAATAAAGGCATAACCCGGTGGTCTTCTAGCAACCCACACGCTGCATTTGTCTCATTGTCAACAATCAAATAATTACGAGATTATTATGTAACACATTTTTGTCTGTACCTTTTATGCCGCGCATGTTCCACCGAGAAAAAAATACAACGAAAACAATAACATAAAATCACATATAGCCACACATACACCAACAAAAAAAAAAAACCTGCATATTATTAAGAAAAATATAAATTTATCAAATAATTTAATTTACTTAATTTACCTTCGGAGCACGCCATAGATGCGAAATTCATCCTCCAAATCTCTCTCATCTACTCGCGGATCCAAATTCCCAACGTACACTCGAGACATCGTATTTTATCTAATAATCACAAAAGCCTAAATATTCAAAGAAAATCAACATTTTCCCAACTAAAAATATAAAATTTGAGCTCTACGATATCATTGACATATAATCACTGAAAAATATATACCTTTGATTATCAATTCAGAAATATATACATATAGGCTTAAAATTAAAAGCGTACCTTAAAGAGAAAACTTGCTTTTCGATTCTGAAAAGAGAGAGGGCTTTCGGTGTGTTTATCGAGAGTCGAAACTCGAAACTTCCAGAAGAGGGGGAGAGGCGGGAGGAAGTTGACATGTGTCAAAAACTGAAAAGATATTTTTGAATTGGATTGGACTTTTGCCTTTATGGGCTAGACTGTAGCTTAGTTTTCATGCAAATTACACCCCTTGCATACGAATAAAATTTTAAATTTTAATGTGCCCCCATTTGGTAGAGATTAGAATCAGATTTTTAATAAATTTTGATAAAAATTAATAAATATGTGGTTAAAAAATTGTGAATCCCATAAAATGTGTTGTTAAAATTAATTGTTAATTTTAATTTAAAATTTTAATTGAATTTTAATCACAACCAAACGGGGGCTATAGTAAAAAGGAAAAAGGGAATATCATACTCAAATAATGATCTATTTGATTGCCAATATTTTCTATAAAAAATGTGTTTTTTTCACCTAATTTTCTAATTTTGTACTATTTGATTGAGATTTTTTCATAAAAAATATTTTCCTACTTTTGGTTACGTGACCATATTTTCTTTGAAAACAAGGAAAATATTATTTTTTTAGGGATGGCAATTTTTACTTTTTAAGTAATTTACTCTATTTTTCTCTCTCATTTATCCCCTCTCTTATCTAGTGATGGCAAAAAAATTCGCCCCGCCCCGGCGGTGCCCCACTCCGACGGGTTGGTGGGAGTGGGGGTGCCCCGCCCCGAAGCGTCCCGTGAAGAATAAAAAAAATAATTAACTACAAATTAAAAACAAAAAATAGTTAATTGGAAGTTTTTGAAAACAAAAAATAATAATAAACGAGGCAGGAAACGGGGGAAACCTGCCGCCCGAACCCGCCCCGTCTAAGGTGGGGCGGGATGGGGTGGGTTGGAGGTGCCCCGCCCCATTGTCATCTCTACTCTCATCTACCCATCAATAAAAAATGAACGAATATAATCTTTTTTTTATGTTGAAAACTAAATCAATCAAAAACATCTAATTAATAAATTATATACAAATAAGTTATAGGCAATCGAATTGCCTCAAATTTATTTTCTTTCCATACAAATTTCATGCTCGCAATCTAACTGTGTTATTTCAAGATTAAATTTACAATACAAAATCAACAGCATGTAATTTTGAATTGGTGACACAAGGAATACCCAAAGAATATGAAAAGATTTACGTGCTAATTATTTTTTAAATTATGCATACTGATAATATCAGATACAGATACATACATGCCACCGCATAGGGGTGAACGCGATTCAATTTGACAGTTTGTACCATATTTTCAACTTTTTCATGCGTCTTGAATTTTTTTTCAAACCAATTTGTTTTTCGAACCAAACCATATTTTGCGGGTTGGTTCGATTTTAATCCACGATTTACCTATCGACATTATAATATTATATTTAAAATAAATTGACATATAAGTTTAAACGAGAACTAAAAGTATCTCCAAGAGACTCTATTTTTAAAGAGTGTATTCTATCATTTGGAGAGTATCTATAAATTTAGAGAGTTTAAATTTTGAAATATTCCAACAAACTCTTTATATTTACACTTAATTTTACTATTCACAAAAAATATTTATTATTTTTCTTTCTCTTTTATTTTAACTAATTTTTCTTTATATTATTTTAATTGTTTTCTTACATTGAAAATTATAAAACTTTGAATACATTTAATTATAAAGAATGAGTAGAGTCAAACTCACTCTCTAAATTAAAATGTTAATTTAAAGAATATCTTGTACCATGATTTTAAATGTTGATTATTTAAAATATAGAGTATTTCATATTTAAAGAGTATCTAGGAGATGCTCTAATAATGTTAAATGTTAAATTACATTCATTTTTCCAACGAAACCCATGAATAAATTATTTTCAAAGTTGGTTGCTAAAAGATGTCAATAGAACGAATATATATTTCTTCCTTTAAATTTACCTTTTCTTGTTCGTCTTTCATATTGTTACATAGCAGTTGGTAAAAG